GGGGCCTCCGGAAGCCCCGCCCCGCCTGCGTCCCGTCGCCAGGCAACGCACCGCTTGGGGGCAGCCGGAGCGACGCGTGGCCGCCAGCACCCCGCGCTCTTGGCCGCCCTTGGCGTTGGCAGGGGCCGCTTGGTTAGCGCGATGTCTGACGACGACACCGAGACGCCCGCCAGCAGCGACCTGCCGGCGGTGGAGGAGTCGGAGCTGCCGGTGATCCAGCTGTGCAGCCTGGTGGAAGAGCTCAGGTACCCGCCGGCTGCGGAGGCGATCGAGTCCGCACTGAGCACTGGGGGAGCTGAGACACCCCCTCCCGCGCCCCGAGAGTGGGGACAGTCCTTGCCTTTGCCCTTTGCCCTTTACCCCTGCGTGTCCCCCGCCACTGAGCTCCCCACGCGGTGGATGGAGCCAGAACAACGCGGAGGCGCCAGGGCGCGGGGTGGGCGGGGGAAGCCCAGGGGGTCCTTGGCGAAGCCAGAACTTCAACCTGGTGGGTCTGCCTGGTGCCGAACCTGGGTGCTTAGCCGATCCTCTGCTCGGCGGCGGCAGGTGGGACCGGGTGACCTCTAAGGCCCTTTGCAAAGCTAAGAGGCTTTGATAAAACGAAGGTGGCAGCTGGGATATTTTTAGCATGAGGCAACCCGTGCACGGAGCTGGACAGCAAAGAACGACGGGCCCGGTGCTCTGCGTTTGTAGCAGCCTGTTTTGTATCTACCGTAGAAGGTAAATCGGATACCAAGGTTCCCTGCTGTCTCACACGGAAGCCCCCGGCTCTGTAACAGTGCTGATTATGTGCCAGGCATTTTGCACAGATGAACTTATATAGTGGGGCAGGAACTCTAGAAGGAGGGTGAGGAAACACAGGCGCAGAGGTTAAGGTCACACAGCTAGTCAGTGGCAGTGCTGGGATCCAGACTCAGGTGCGGCTCCACAGCTACAGTGGGAACCGGACATATGCTGAGAAACACAGATGTTTTGATTTATTGGACTTTCCCCTGAGCCTTTTCCACTAATCTCAAAATGCAGCCAAACAGGAATTAACTCAAGAACATACGAAGATATCAAAGCTGTTCTCTCTCTTCTACAAATACACACACGTGTTACATGTATGTTACATATATGTATCTATGAAGTCAAAGAGTTAGAGTGAAAATCTTGACATATACAGGATAAACTAGGTTTGTTATATCCAGTTGTTTAAAAAACATTTGTTCAAAGCTTCTCCATCATTTATAATAAACTTCCAGTGGATACTTCATCTGTTGGTTGCTGGAAATGGAAAAAAAAACCCTGAGAAACATAAACCAAAGGAAACATCTGAAGATTATGGATGTAACTTCAAGAATGTAGTAATTCAGGAGGAATTTCACAAATGAGTTAGAAAAGACAAGTTTCATCTTCAGCCACAGTTGTCAATGTAATACCAGTGCTTTGAATTCTGTGGCTCATTAGATGTATTAAAAATATATATCAAATACTTGAGTAGCACTTGCTATGTGCCAGGCACTGTCCTGAAGGCTTTGCATTCCTTACTGCAAGCCTAAAAGATAGGTGGTGTTATTATTCCCATTTTACAGATGGGGAAACTGAGGCACCAAGAGGTGAAGTATCTTGCAGAAGGCCATACATAGCTAGTAAGGGTTAAATACTATTTATTTGGTGTTTAAACTCCTATTAATAGAACTTACTCAGGTACACTCTGTCTTGCAGCTATGGAAACTCTGCTCTTAAAATTGAGACAGAGATGTTTGAGAAATATTACAATAAACTGGAATCCAGGGAACAGCGACCTCTACAACTATCCGAAATTCAAAAGTCAGTAACAGAGTTTGCGCAGGTACACAACGGAGATAAAGGATTGCTTTATTCTGTTTGTCCCTTAGATACAAGGGGCGTTTGTGCATCTGCCTTTGGTGTGCCCTCTTTGGCCAAGCGACGTATGACTTTGTTCGTGTTCTTATTCTGATCCTTCCTTGCCCCTCAAGATGTCTCTTTTAAGTCAGGGTAGAAGGAACCAGATTGACTCTCCCAGAACATATATATTTTTAAATTTACCTTTATTGTTGAAAGTATTACAGATGTCCCCCTCCCCTCCCCCGAGGGTCCTCCCCCCTTCCCAGAATATTTTAGTTTGTTTGAAATAATTCCCTTAAATTGAGAGACTCAAAATGTTTACAGGGCCCAGCCAGCCACATAAAGAGATGAAGTGGGCCTGGTGAGGGCACTGGAAAAGCTCCTTCCTCATCTGCAAGGGCCATCCAGGTGGCCTGGTGTTGTCAGAGTAGTTGACTTTTCAAGAGAAGCTGGAAATCAGAATTATTTTGGTGGAATCTCCCGATTTTTCAAATGTGGGTAAATTTTTTTATATTTAAAACTGAGTGAAAGCCTATCCTTCGAGGGCCAAACAATACCATCTTGAGGTCCACATATTTCCTGGGTCACCTGCTTGTGACCTGTGGCTTAAATGCACAGGAAATCCAAAATTTTTGTCTCTTTGTTTTTGCTGTGTGCTGTACCCCGGATGCAGTTTCTCTTCTGCGTCCAGCTCAGGAAGCTCTGAGCTCCAGGCTTTCCCTGACACTGACCTGAATGCTAGTCTACAGCAGGTTCACAGTCTCTCCACCCTTGAGACACTTCCACTTATTTATTTTTAGTTCACTTCAGGCATAGGCCTTTGATGTATTTAGCTCAGGTCTTAGGTTGACAAGTGAAATAGGTATGAACTCAGGCCTAATATCCAGATTCCTTTCGCATTGAGTGTGTTCTCTCCGGCTGTCATTCAAGCAATTTCCAGCAGGTCTGAGAGGTCACTGTGACGTCCCCCTTGGGCTGCCCTGTTATCAATGCCTACTTGACAGTGGCTTTGTGTTGGTTTTTTTGAGGCACGAGGCAGGCACAGGTCCAAATCCCGCTCAGGTATGGAACATGTGGGAACCCTCAGCGTTGACCAGAAATTTGAGTTTGTACGAAAGGAGCTGGAAGACACGAAGGAGGAAATAAGGCGCCTGAGGGCAAATGCCGAGCGGGACCTGCAGCATCACGAGGTAAACCTTTGGCTCTGCGGGCCACCCTGCCTGGGCTCCGAGAAGTGTCTGGGGTACGTTCATGTAAGTGTTGCTGCTTTTAAAGGAATACAAGTGGATTAAGACAGACTCTATTTGTTGTAGCAAAACTTAAACATATAGGTAAGCTAAAAAAAGCACATTTGAAAACACATTCACATGCATATATGAATTGCTTTATAAAAAGATGTCATGTTATCTAATCAACTGCATTATCACTTAACAATGTCTTTCCCTGTCAATATATATATTCATCTATAACATCTTTTATCAAATTGCAGAAGTATATAGTAAGAGTGCTTCTCTGTCCCCCCACTAACCCATCTCTCCTGATGTGACTGTGATTAATGTTTTGGTGTATATCCTTCTAGATATTTTTATATTATATTATATTATATTATATTATATTATATTATATTATATTATATTATATTATATTATATTATATTATATTATATTAATGTTATAATTTTTAATTGGTCAATAATATTTCAGACATGAAAAGACATATTTATAAAGATACCTAAAGGCTCCATTTCTATTTGCCCCCTTTTTATGTTTACTATTAACTTTTTTGAGGCATGCTTTTAAATAATAACATTAACATAGTCAAATTTATATCTTAAGGCTATATTTCTAAGGCTAAGAAGAAACATTGTATATCGGGACACAAAGAGGCCTGAGAGCGTAGGTTTCCGAGGGATACATCCTTGAGAGTTTTTGGAAACTCTGCTCACTCTTTGTGCTGACTCCCCCAGGCTATCATTGAGGAAGCGGAAATCCGATGGGCTGAAGTTCGGAAAGCCATGCAAGAGTTTGAAAGAGATATTCTAAAAACCATATCCAAGAAGAAAGGGAGTATTTTGGCCACTCAGAAAGTGATGAAGTACCTTGAGGACATGAACCACCAGAGGGTGAGCTGGCAGGGGTTGGAGCTTAGAAAGGGAGGAGAGATTCGTAGGAAGATGGCATAAAAAGTGGGGCATGTGAGGCAGCCCCACTCCATTCGGCCCACCATCAATGTCGCTCACATGTGCAGATTTTTCACATCTCCCAAAGTGTGTGCGTCCAAAAATGCAAGTTTATCAAGGCTAAAATCAGACTGGATGAATATCAGTAGTATCTCATCTCAGGTCGATGACTTCTTTTTTGTTGTCACTATTTGTTTCAAGATCTGATATATTTTCTTTCTTTTTGAAATCCTCGCCTGAAGACATGCATTGATTTTAGAGAGAGAGAAATATCGATGTGAGCAAGAAAAATTAATCAGTTGCCTCCTCTACATGCCCCGACCAGGGATCAAACCCAAAACCTAGGTATGTGCCTTGACCAGGAATCGAACCCTCAACCTTGGAAATCGAACAATGCTCCAACCAACTGAGCCACACAGGCCAGGGCTGAGATGTTTTCTTGAGAAAAGTATGAGCCTGTCTAGCCAGGTGACTGTGTGGAGTGGGACAGGTACATCTCAAGCTCTTTGCGTTCCATTATAATACGAATGAGATATAAAATGCTCCTTCACTTCCAAAGATGATGTAGCATATCCGCCTTGGACCCTGGAGATAGGTAGGCTTACTAACCCTAATATGTTATAAGTAATAAAAATTACGTAAACTACCAAGAGCAGAAAAGACCCAAGAATCATAAGATCCTTTTGTCAGGAAAGGCCCGATTATCTTGAAATTGAAAGCAATAGAAAATTTGCATGGGCCAGACCCAGCTTCCTCTGCTTCTCGGTTATGAATGAGACGCTATAGCGACACCAGCTCGGGGAGATGGGAAAAGACCTTCAAATAAGTGACCAACTGTTAGGGCTCAAGGTTTGGTGCGTAGCTGCAGACTTACCAATGTTTCCAAGCAACAGGGAAGAAGAAGAGAAATGGATTTAAATGTGCCTTTATTTTTTAGGATCACATGAAAGATAAATTATGTTTGAAAAACGTTTCTCTCAAAGTCCTGAGGAAACAGATGCTTCTACAACTGAGGCAGGTATGTGGCTTCTTATTTTTTTAAGGTCACTTGTAGTAGGTAGAACGATGTCTACCTGAAGATGTCTGTGTCCCGATTCCTGGAATCTAAATATGCTACCTCACGTGGCAAAAGGATTCTGCAGATGCGATTAAGTCAAGGATGTTGAGACGGAGAGATAACCTGGGGCTGTCTGAGTAGATTCAGTGCAGTCACAAGAGTCCTATGAGGAAGAGAGAAGATGTGATAACAGAAGCAGAGATCAGAGTGGCGTGCCTTTTTTTAAAAAAAAAAAATGTACTGATTGATTGGTATTTAGAGAGAGAAACATCGATTTGCTGTTCCACTTACTTATGCATTCATTGGCTGATTCTTGTATGTGCCCTGACCGAGGATCAAACCCATAACCTTGGCTTATCAGGATGATGCTCTAACCGGCTGAGCTACCCTGCCAGGGCTCTCAGGGTGACCTGCTTTTAAGACAGAGGAAGACCTCATGGACAAAGGAATGCAGGCACCTCTAGAAGCTGGCGATGGCAAGGAAACAGTCTTCTCTAGAGCCTCCAAAAAGAACACAGCCCTGCCAGCACCTTGGTTTTAGCCCAAAGAACTGTATCGGGCTCTGACCTTATGAGCTGTAAGATAGTAGATCTGTGTTGTTTTCTAAGCTGCCAGTTTGGGGTTATTTGTTACAGCAGCCATAGAAAACTGATACAGTCACTGTACTGGTAAATCTGTAGGCGGAGCTGGCTTCAATGCTTGTTAATTGTTTTGGGGGATGTGGCCTGGGTGGCATGGTTGTCCTGTTCCTTGGTGAGTCTTTGAATAGCTGACCTAAAGGCAGTAAGGCAGGCATGGCAGAGGGTCTCCAGAGTGTGGGTACATGGCTCTGTCCTCTCCTAGCCCAACGGTTTTATTATTAGCTTGAATTTGGGCACAGACGGCATGCACATCAGAGGTGGCCACCGACAATGTACAACCTTGGGCAGGAGAATTAACATGTCAGGGACTATTGCCTGATTGACTTGGGATCCTGAAAGACTCAACAAACTGGGACAACTTTAACAACAAAAAGTGGCTTGAGGACAAATGTAAGATCCTCTACTTTTTGTTGTTGTTGTTGTTAATAATCACCCAAGGATATTTTTCCATTGGTTTTTAGAGAGAGTGGAAGGGAGGGAGGAAAGGAGGGAGAAAGAGAGAGAGAGATGGAGAGAGAGGGACATCAATGTGAGAGAGACACATCGATTGCTTGCCTTCCCGATGCACCCCAACCGGGGCCAGGATCAAGCCTGCAACTCAGGTATGTGCCCTTGATCGGGACTCGAACTCACAACCCTTTGGCCCTTTGCGGGAAGCCTCCCCTCACCCAGCTCCCATCTTCTGCTGGCCCGGCCCAAGGGCTTCCACGTGCCCGATGCTCTTGCCCACCCCACTGCGCCCCGCTGTGACCTGTCCATGAATCCTCATGACCTTGAGGCCAGGGAGCACCCTATTCGCTCAAATCTCTGTCCCCAGGGCCTAGCGCCATGCCTGGCACCAAGTAGATACACCATCCATGATTGTCGAGTGACTGACTGATGCCCGACTTCCAAACCTCACCCAGAGTGCCAGGGTGGGAGCCGCTCACGCAGGCGCCACAACCTCACTGCACGCCTTTCTCGCCCCTGCGCCGCAGAAGGAGGAGGTGGGCGAGGCCCTCCACGACGTGGACTTCCAGCAGCTGAAGATCGAGAACGCTCAGTTTTTAGAGACCATTGAAACGAGGAATCAAGAGCTGATCCAGCTGAAGCTGGCATCTGGAACCACCCTGCAGGTCCTCAACTCCTACAAAGTAAGGTCCACCCCAATGCCCAGGTCCCCGGGGCTTCCTGCCCCCACCTCTCCGGCCACAGTGAGGCTCCCACGCGCCGCTGCGGTTCCCCGCAAGGGTGTGGATGGGTGTCCTTCAGTCTCCCACTGCTCCCTGAGCTCTCTTGTGAAAGCCACATCTCCTAAAATACTTGGAATGTCCTCATTGGAACCATCCGGGGAGCTTCTACTTTTTAAAAAGGCATAAGGAGCCCCTGGCCAGTGTGGTTCAACGGTTGGAGTATCGACCTGTGAACCAAAGGGTCGTGGGTTTGATTCCTGGTCAAGGGCACGTACCTGGGTTGCAGGTTCGATCCCTAGCCCAGTCAGGGTGCATGTGGGAGGCAACCAATCAATGTGCTTCTCTCACATAGATGTTCCTCTCTCTCTCTCTCCCCCCCCTCCCTTCCACACTCTCTAAAATATCAATGGAAAAGTCAATGGATGGGCAAGAGCAAAGGGAAGCCCCTGGGCCAGGCCAGGGGAGATATAAGAACAAATTAAAAAAAAAAAAAAAGATACAAAAACACCCTAGTCTCACCCTGACCAATTGAATTAGGGGGTGAGGGCCATGCATCTCTTTATTTTTAACTCCCCAGATGATTTTTACGCACAGTGAGTTTTGAGAGCCAACCACATTTAGGTCCCTGTTTTATGTAGGCATATAAAAAGCACTTCCCTGCTTAAAACCCTAAAAAGGAAAACCATCTTAGCTGTAAATCAGAAAACTGCTAAATAATTCCTCATCCACACCGAACGCTTTTTGGAGAAAAAGAGGCATTGCCAATAATTAAGCAGGGCCATAGGCGTGAACAGGGCCTGTCCCCAGCAGGCCGGGCTGTCCGGTCACCCTGTTAGTGCCTGGCCAACGCAGTGGTCAGCCAACTGTGGGCCAGCCAAGAATGGTTTTTACAGAGCATTTGCAGCCTGCTCCACAGCAGACACTGCGTCTGAAACCCAATTAAGCACAATTGGTTTCTCCCTCAGAAATCGCTTCTCTTTAGTAGACCGTGGTCCAAAATACTGTACTTAACTATTATATTTGAAACCTTATCAATAAAACAATTGTGGAAATTTGGTTTTTTTCTCTTGTTCATATAAGTAACTACATAATATCCTCAATTTTGCCTCTTGGCCTGCAAAGCCGAAAATATTTACTGTCTGTCTGGTTTTTTCCAGGGCAGGGTTGCTGACCCGGGCCCGGCCAGGGACCCAGGCAGCAGCTGTGGCTACAGGGGTTGGTGGCTCACAGAGGCGCTTAATTTGGCCCACACGGTGTCATTTTAAAATGTGAACTGGAACGTGTTTAGGCCAGGCTGCTGTTTGTCCAGTATTTTCCTTTCACATATGAAAAACCCGAGGCCCAGAGAGTAATTGCCTGATTCAAACAACTAGTCTGTGACCGGGCTGGGACTCCTGGTCCAGTGCATGTCCCACCTAACCCAGCTGTCTTCCCCAGGCACAAAGTGTGTAGACGGTATTGTGCTGGCACCCGTGACAGTGTCGTAAACATGCTACCGATCGTCACCCGGAGCTTATCTCGTCAGTAGTTAGCTTATCTGATCCCTACTATTTCCAGACAAAGCCAATCCTCGTGACTCCCAGGCCCTTGCTGGCTCGAGAGCCGGGCAGCAAGAGGTTACATCACATTGGACCTTGATCTTATCCTGCAAAACCAACTAAATAACACAGGGCCTGTCTGATCTTGCGGGGGGAAAACCAGGGGTTGGGAGTGGAGCTACTGGTTTATAAAATGAAACTGGCAGGTGGCAGGGCCTGAGCTCGTTGGGACGGGTGTAAGCACACAACCCAGGTTTCTGGGTATGGATGGATAGCTGAGCAGCAGGGACACAGGCCACGGTGGGCGGAATAGAAGCCGTTTCAGCCCGAATCCCAGAGGCCACTGTGCTTGTAGGCGGCTACAAACAATAGGAAGCAGCCGATGGAGCCGCCCCCAGGAGTCCTAAGGAGGACACGGCGAGGGGCTGAGGGAGAGGCAGGCCCCCTTCCTCCATGTCCCAGTGCTCAGGCTCCCAGGGGGAAAGGAAGGCAGAACAGCTATGAGTTGTGCAGTCAGGCCTGAGTTTGAAAGGGGGCTCCAATGGGGACCCCAGGCACAAGGCTTCACCTCTTGGAGGGGGCGTTTTGTACCTCAGGGCTCCGGCTGGTCTGGGCTGTGTCCCCAGCACCAAGGACAGTGCCCGGCCAAAGCATGTGCTAGGCTACTATTGTCCAACGACCTGTTAGTGATTCAAGTGTGTGTTTAGGGGATCAGAGGGTGGCAGGAGGGACCACTTCATATAAGTGTCAAACACCCAATGCAAGATCTTGTTAAAAACATGCAGACTAACTTTCCCTCTGTTACCAAATGTACTGAGGGCCCATGGCACGCCGGCACACGCTGAGGGTACAGCCGGGAAGGAGGCGGGCACGTCTCTCCTTTTCTGTGAGTTTTATGAGTGAGCCTCAGTCAAGGGGGCACCATTTCCTCAGTAACAAGCCCTGAGCAGTGGACTCTGGCATATTATCATTGATTGACTACAGCTGTGATAGGTCACTCTTTTTAAAAAATTTATGTTTAATTATTTGAGAGTATTTAGTAGGTATTAACGTTGTTTTTTTTAATTTGTTGGGGTAATGTTGGTTAATAGCATTATATCAATTTCAGGTGTATATTATAATTCAACACCTATATACTCTATTGTGTGCTCACCACTCGAAGTCCAGTTTCTTTTCGTTACCATACATTTGACCCTCTTTACCCTCTTCACCCTTAACCGACTGTAAGCGAGGGGTGCCTTGTGGTAGGAGAATTCTAAGATGTCCCCCAAGACTCCCTGGCCCCTGGTATATGCACCCTGCCCACTCCCCAGGACTACAGACAGGGTGGATTCTGTTATTAGGTTCTGTTCTGTTCTGTTCTGTTCTATCATTAGATTATATTACACAGCACAGTTGACCTTGAAATAGGGGGATGATCTGGGTGGGCCTGGACTAATCACACGAAGCTGAAAGCAGGGAGTTTTCTCTGGGAGAGGAAGCCATGAATTCGAAGCAAGAAGGAGATTTGCTGGGCAAGAAGTTCCCTATTGCTGGCTTGGAGATAGAGGGGACCACATAGCATGGGTCTGAGGGTGGCCTCGGGGAGCTGAGGGCCACCCCTGCCGACAGCCAAAAAGAAAACAGGGACCCAAGTCTTGCAACTTCAAGGAAATGCATTCTGCCAACAACCCATAAGCTTGGAAGATGACCCCAGCACCAAATGAGAGCCACAGCCCTGACCGATACCTTGATTTCAGCCTCGTGGGACCCTCCCCAGGCAGAGAGTTCAGCCACACTGTGCCAAGATGCCACACTGACATCGTGCTCAGAATCACAAATAGCTCCCATCACATCTTCTCGGAGGCCCTGCCCCACCAGAGCCAGTCACCCCTTGCAGTTCCCTCTTTCCTGCCCTGTCTGTGATCACCTTGCTCAAGACTTGCTGTGTTGTTACTTTTCAGACCAGGCTACACCGAGCAATGGAAATGTCCATCAATCTGGAAAAGGAGATATTGCTGAGAAACGAGCTACTTGAAAAAATTGAAAGAGAAACTCTACAAGTAGAGGAGGTAAGAGAGGGTTACATGTGCTATTTCTGGTGTTTGTCTGCAAGGGCTTCAGCCTGTGCCCACCAAGATCCAAGCCACCTTGATTTTTGTCTAGAAACACCTACACCATAGAAATCAAAGTACCTGTGGGCTGTCAAAGGAGGAAGTAGTACCTGGAGACTCCCGGTCTAGCGGGGTTGCCTTTCACTGCTGGGTTAGGTGCTAGAGTCAGCTCATAAGGTGGAAATCATGGAGTCCAAACAATCCTCGGGAATGCCTTACACGGCCCATCAAGTGAAATACTTCAAGTGTCATCTGTACAACCTTGCAAAAAATGTAACACGCATGTAATAATGTAACTGGTATGAAAAAAAGTACACACACCAACATACAGGTAAAGGAGAGAAAGCTCTTTAGACACGTAACTCTCATTCAGTGCAGTGGATGCTTGGACGGTAGACCTCCATCCTGGGCTCACTCCAGGCCCCATGGTCACTGCGAGGAAAGATGCAGCATCGTCTACACCGTGATTTAGGGCGCTCGGTGTTTTGCTGGGTGCATAAAGTTGAATTTCTGCAGGTAAATGCACCTAGGATGGAACTCGAAGAGGACTTTTTTGGGAAAGTGGGGCTTCAAGAGCACTGGACTTGTAGTCAGAAGGCCTGGCATCAGGTTTGGTGTGGCCAGTCTCTAGCCTTTGAATTAGACGGGACTCAGTCTCCACATCTGTCAAATAGCCATCACAACCCCTGTGGCGATCAGATAGGAACACGTATAGAAATGTTTCGTCAGCCTCTAAAGCCATAAGTATACTTATTAGTGTCGTCGTGAATGGGCCTGAAGTGTCCCCAGCAGTTGGCCCCAGACCTGTCTACAATGGCCCCAAAGCCACAGCATTACTACGGATGAGACAGCTTTGCGACGGCAGCCCCATCATATCCTTGATGGAGAACCAACAGGCTCTGCAAAGAGATGGTCTTGGAGCAGAGTGGCAGATGACAAAGTTCAAGCAAAAGTCCGTGCTCTCTCTTTGCAGAATTTCTGTGGTACTTATTTTGGGGGGGGGGAGGTTGACATTTATTAGATTACAAGTAAAACATGAAATCCATTTTTATTATTTTTCTAATCCATTTTTATTATTTTTCTAATTTATCATTATTATTGAAAGTATTACAGATGTCCCCTTTTTCCCCATCGGCCCCCTCCTCCCC